ACCTATTTGTATAGCTACCATAATGTTGCTAAACTCAAAATGTTTGTAACTCAATGTATTTAAATTTCATGATGAATGGGATTAGGGTCGCTGCGCGGCCCATGAGCCCAGTATTGTTAAACATCAGAAGGAAAATTTTGAAACTGGAATTTTTATGCGTGTTTACTTTCTTTGTAACACAATTTTTAGTGGTGGTTACGCAGAAATTAAATTGTCGACATTTATTTAACTTTCGTTACCATTTTTTAAAATTTGAAAGGCCAGAGGGAGCCCTGTGAAGCTAAAGTAGTGAAATGAAAGAACAATAATTGTTTAAAATAAAACTTTCTACTTTAATTATTTTCTACTTAAGTTAAAGATATTTTTTACCGCTTTTGTTCGGATCTTATTTTTCTATAAGATCCGAAATATTTATTTAATAAACAAATATTTCGACATATATTAAAATATTATATATTTATTTAATAAACAAATATATAATATTTTAATAAACAAAAAAGTAATGAGCGGAGTTTAATTTATTGTTTTTCAAGTGAAATTTAAAACAAAAAATTTTATCAATACGAAATTTTAAAGTTATAATTATAAACTAAACTCAGTGGCACGACAGCCCATAGAGGGCCAAGGCCTACTGTGCCCATCTCAGTTTTCTTGACCTTGGGCTCTGGGGTGCAGGAGCAGATGTTCCGGTTAGGTGGTCAGCAGAAAGGGATGAAAGGCTGAGTCAACCTTTCCCGGTCCGAGGATCGAACCCATATATCAACCTGAGCATCGCTAAAAAAATTTTTTTCTTTTTAAAATTATAGATTAATTTTTCTAAGCAGGCACATTTTAAGGATTGCAGAATCTTATGCACATCGATGTAAAAAAAACTCTGTGTTTTTGTTCTATTTCTGAACTTTAACTTATCCTTTTAAGAAAATGTTGCACATCACACATGCATATTTTAAAAATGTATAAAAATAATACATTTTTTTTTGTTCTTTTTTTTTTTAGAAGGATGTGTCTCTATTACCACAAGACAATCAAACACAAAAAAAAAATTAAGTTTCCGAAATAAAAAAAAACAAATAAACAAACCGTGGAGACAAACACAACATCTGGTAGGTTGGTCACTGAAAAACTAAAGGCGTTAAAATGTTACAGATACTTTATTCGACGGCTATTATACTTATAAAAAATTCGAAATCGAATGGAATAAAAAAAAAAATCGAATCGCGTCGTTAAGGTTCCATTTTGCTTTTCTGTCCCTTTTCTCACCATTCCCGCATAAAGATCGGCATAGAGGCGTTAAATTACAAATCAGTCCCAAATAATAGGGCTCACAAGAATCTGATGACCACCTACGCTTTAGATTTCCGGTAGTTCACGGTTACAGTCATGAGTTGTTCCCCCCCCCCCTATTCACATCTTTTTATTTCATCCGTGGTACTGTTTGTTTATTTTTAGTTTCGCGATCGCTATATATACCTTCTTGCTTCTGAGTGTCGAAAAAAAAAAGGTTTATCTAACTCCCTCAAGCGAAAGGTGAGTGGAGTTGAGATGTTTTGTTCCCACAGTAATGGATTAAGAAGGCGAAACCATTGATATAAACGGTAGTTAAGAAAAAGTGAAGAAGAAATTACTTTTGCTCCCACAGTAGTTTCAAGGCTAAACAAATTCTGTTTCATCATTTTAACCATTTAATTTTATTGTTTGTTTTATTTTTGAAATTTGTCAGCGGTTTAACAGTTAACGATTCGGCTAATATTTCTTTAGTAAAGATACAATTTGATATAAAGTCAAACATAAATCTTACCGAAATATTGTAGTAAAAAAGTAATTAAGTACTAAGTTGATCCGGAATCAAGTTGAAACATTTTAAAGTTCTAAAGTTGAACTTAAATCAAACTGATAAATTGCAGAAAATAAAAAATTCATTAAAGTTCTAAATTTGAACCAGGATTAAACTGATTATAGCAAATGAGTAACTCTTTAAAACTCTAAATTTGAACCGGAATCAAATTGCAACATTGTAACAAATGAGTAATTCAGTAAAGTTCTAAAGTTGAACCTAAAATAAACAGAAACATTGTAGAAAATGAATACCAATCCTTAAAATGTAGAAAATGAATTTCCTTAAAGTTCAGAGCTTGAACCGGAATACAACTGAAACATTGTAGCAAATGAGTAATTCATTAAAATTCTAAAGTTGAACCTAAAATAAACTGAAACATTGTAGAAAATGAATAATTCCTTAAAGTTCTAAACTTGAACCGGAATAAAACTAAAAAATTGTAGCAAATGAGTAATTCATTAAAATTCTAAATTTGAACAGGAATCAAATTGAAGCATTGTAGCAAATGAGTAATTCATTAAAGTTATAAAGTTGAACATAAATCAAGCTTAAACATTGTAAAAAATAAGTAATTCATTAAACTTCTAAATTTGAACCGGAATCAAACTGATTTTAGCAAATGAGTAAATCATTAAAATTCTAAATTTAAACCGAAATCAAAATGAAACATTGTAGCAAATGAGTAATTAATTAAATTTCTAAAGTTGAACCTTAATTAAACTAAAACATTGTAGAAAATGAATAGTTCATTAAAGCTCTAAAGCTGAACCAGAATAAATCTTAATTCATTGTAGCAAATGTAATTCATTGAAATTCTAAATTTGAACCGGAATCAAATTGAAGCATTGTATCAAATTAGTAATTCATTAAGTTTTAAAGTTGAACATAAATCAAACTTAAACATTGTAACAAATAAGTAATTCAGTGTTTCCCAAAGTGTGGTACGCGTACCCCCAGGGGTACGGGAACAGTTCAGAGGGGGTACACGTTCTTATGCGAAATATCTTGCAACAAACGAAACAAAAAAATTTTTTAAAAATTTCAAACAAATTTTATATAAAAACAAAGCTAGCCATGAAAATTTACGATTACGTATTTTTCTATTGGCTATTTTTTGCTGAGTTAACAATTAATAATTAACGGTGTTAAGAGCCAGTTGTGATTCTTAACTTTTGTGCAATTTTTTTATAGTAAAAATAGACATATTTTGAAAAATTACATTCACTTTTTTATTAGTGGTACACAGCGCTACGAAAAATTTAAAAAGGGTACGCAAAAGTCATAAGTTTGGGAAACACTGAAGTAATTG